AAAATCAAACGCGGAAGCGTGGAAGCAAATCGATCCGATTAGTGTTAATCACTTAAGAAGCTCGTGGTAAGTCAACAGTGCTGGTCGAATATCGGGAAACCTTTGTTCCGGATCATCCGTCATTATTGTCTGTCATTATTGTCCTCGTCAAAGCTAATGAAGGATGATCGAGATCGGCCAGTAGATCGATTCGTCTTTGATGCAATTAGTCGGTATCGTACAGGATCGAATGCGTTATATTCCCGGAATGCAAGACAATGTCAGAAAGCGAGAGATGCAAATTCTCGAAAGCCATTGCCAAAGAGCAGACGATAAGCGATAACGTATTTAAAAGTAATAATTTCTAAGAGTAACGTTATATCGCGAGTATTATTATATATTTTAACACATTTTCGCGTGAAAAAATGTTTATATCACGGAGAGGCTTTCCTGTCAAATATGAATTAAGGACTCGTGCATACATCCTCGTATTATATCCTATTAATTACAATCAGCCGGAGCAGTTTGGAGAGAGATTATTGGCGATCGATCCTTCCTTTCGCATTTGCGTGCAATATGTAGGCGCCTACATACATACATCGTGCGCGTGTACACACGTGTACGATGGCACGCTCGATGGTGCGTGTCGGGGCGAAATCGGACAGCAATTACCACTCCGCAATCCCGCGATGCGGAGTGAATTGGCTCTCTCGGGCCGGCTTGCATAACCGGGCCGAAAGGACCAAGTCCTGCGGCGGCCTCGAGCATCTCGAGTCGAGTAATAAACGCTTATCGGAACGATGAGAGGGAAAGGGGGTTTGCGATCCGGATCGTCGAGCGGCCCTTCGGAAGATTTCGGCGAGTTCTAATCTCAATTGTTGTAGGAAGCCTCGCGCGACGCGGCATCCGACGTCGATGGAATCCTTTATCTGATACGCGAACGCGCCATCTTCCCCGAGATCCTCGTTTGATGCCGCTTTAATTCTACGGGCCCCGCGAGCTCGTCTCGACCAAATTATCTCGGCCGATCTCGTTTCGAGATCAATCCACCGCTGTAAGACGCATGAATCGTATTTACACTCGCGGTTATCCGGATTAATTGACAAGTTTTAGGTTGGCTTAATAGGAGAGAAATTGCGTTTTCCAATTTTTAAAATCATTTTTATAGATAAACTAAAATGGCAGAATAATAATAAGTATTCTCATCCTGTGTATATTTCTTTAATTGGAGAAAACAATGATCTCTAAAATAATTGTATATAAATTGATGCCATGTATATAAGTCCGAGGACAAAGAATTAACAAAATTTGTTATGAATGAGGATGTTATTAATTTATGTGTATAAGTAAATTAAGTATAGCTAGCAAAATATAAAATGTATGTTTATTTAAAAAATTTCTTAAATTCGTAAATTTTATTTTTCAATATTATATATATTTTTTAAACAAGAACTGCGGTTGAAAAGCTGATTATATACTGCGCATTATTATTCAATTTTAAGATTTATGTACACATACAAAGTAAGAAGGAAATAAGCATCGCCGCACGAGTGACTCCAGCAATCCCTCAAACAATCTCCTTTATGTCAAGCACAATCTGCTTAAAATCCACGCAAGCCTTTGAGCGACTATCTCGCAAACATTTCGTCGTCATATGAAATTTGTAGTGTATAACTATAATCACATTTATTACTTATTTGAATTCTGTCATTGCATATGCCATCGGCATTTGTTATCATAATATTTTCCGGAAAATACATGGAAAAATATTTCAAACGACATGGCAGAGAGCTGTCGAGTATAAATTTAAGTGTAGAAGAAGTCTACTTCGAAGGGGATTAAGCTCGTCGATAACGATGGAGTTCACTTTTAACAAGACCGATTTCGAAACTTTTTGATTACACTAAGTCGGAGTTTTCAGAAGTCTGGGACTTTTGATTTCACATTTCTCGATATCTGAAATTGTCGAAACCTAGGGGACTTTGTCCTTTCAACGGTGTCAGTGATTTATCGTCCGATGCTTCGCGACGATAAAAGAATAATGTTGAAGCGGACGAGCGGGCTCAAGGGAACGCTTTCCGCGGGAACGCGGATGGACAATGTGGCGCTAATTATTCTTTCCCTCTGGACCGTGAAAAAAGGCATCCGCCTCGACGGGGACGAAAGAACCGAGGTTATATGCGATAATAAAAAACGGAAATGGAAAGGAAAGGCGCGCACGTGGAAAGACATGGAGCTTTGTGGGGCAACGTCTGACGAGGTCGCTCGTGGAAATGCGAGACCGGATGGGAATATGAAAGGGGGAAATATGGGCAAGGAGCCGCTCTTGATGGGAGAAGAGAGGCGGCGGCAGGGGAGAAGGGCGAGGAGGTTGAGAAAAATGACGACGGGGGTAAACACAGAACTAAGTGAAGTTAACGATCGGGCAAGAAGAGCGATAAAAATGACCCCAGGAAAATTACCGCACGCGCAACGGCTTAATGTCCAAAAAGATGAGAGTCGAGGGGAGAGGAAGTAGGGAGGACGAGATACGGGAAGAGGAAGATGTGAAGAGAACAAGAGAGACAGAGGAAGAGAGAGAAAGGGAAGTCGGAGTACTTGGGGTCGAGAACTGAGAGAGATATTCGCAAGAACGGAGAGAAAAGAAAGCTGCAGCTGCTTAATGACTACCCTGTACATTCGTATCTCTCCTAGATAGGCTTCTTTCTTACTCTTCCTCTCCGTCCTTTGCGCAGTTCCGTTTTACTTTCTTTCTATTTCTCTTCCTCTCTTTCTTCCTTTCTAACTCCTTCGTAGTCCCGGCGCTGGGTGCCGCTGGGACCATTATCTGTAATTGCTTTCCTTAATTCGATGTTCGTTGCCTATGCGGTGGAACAAAAAATTTCGTCTAGAAATGGGTTAAGCGCACCTTGACGTGTACAATCGCGTGAAAGATACAAATTCGTCATGTTCGTCGCGACGAAAACCGTCGTCGATGCTTGGAATTTTCTACACGTTGCAACGTTTTCTAAGAAAAATTCATTGTTTTTCATCCCTCGAAATTAATAACCGCGTCTTCTTTTTTTCGACACAAAACCAAAGCGATAGCGACGAGAGGAGGGAACAGAAGCTTTCCGGAAAAATAGTCGTTTTCTCGCGAGAGATCGATTCCGGAAATAAATCGTTCTACAACGGCCAGAATCTCCTTCGTCTCGCATTCGGAATCCGCTATTTGTTTTTGAGCATGCCGATGATGGGGGAGGCTGAGAGGGGGAGGGAGGAGAGGAAGGGGTGGAAGGGTAGGAGGGTTAAAAGTCACGCGAAACACGCGCGGACGCCGCGTCGCATGGAGCGGCAAATTGATCGACGCTGCGACGACCGTAAATCACTTTACTGACAATTGATTCGCCCGGTACTCGTTTTACCTCGGACCGTGCGGTAATGTTTACGGGAGCACGCACGTGCACGTAACACTGTTGCGTGCGTGTCGGCCGACAGAATAGGTTCATTTGCCCGTGTTACAATGATACGCAACGTGACGCGCCCGTAACGTTTCGCCACGCGTTCTCGTTGCGTTACCTCGAATATTCCTTGCGTATCGGGGGCAGATAAAGGGAGGGGGAGGGGGAGTATGCGTCTGTCTTTGTATTCATATTCTATCAAAAAGAATTTAATTTATCGATCGATTTTTTTAGATTTCGAATTTCAAAAAATCTGTGCCGTCGAAACAACAATGCACCAAACCTGATATCTTTTGATTTCGAAACGTCACGCAAATTCTATAAAATCTATATACAATATGTTCCAAAGTTAAACGATTGAACTTTGCAACTATAGATTAAAACGAAAAAATTGCACAAGCATTGGTTCGAAAATGCTTTATTATCATGTTATATTAAAAAAAGAAAAGCTGAATTTTCTATTTCAAAATGTTGCTTTTTTGATTTCTAATACAAAATTGAGAGATCGACTGTAACATTCTACGGATTTTATATGTATATGCCTTGCTTTAGCTCAATGAACACCAAACTATAATTATCGCAGTAAGTTTCATTGCAAATTAACTCTTATATGACACAATTCTGATTTTCCATAGATAAAAATTGAGCTGCAACAAAAAATACAGCTGGAACAAACAAATAAATATCGCCGAATTGTTATGCGACAATAGCGAGTCCGCTATTGTCTTCATATGTATTATATATTTTTATTATAACTTCCTAATAAAGCATTTTTTTCGGACTAATGTTTATATGTGTAACGTTTCGACAACTTGTTAATAATATATAAAAAAATATATTTTTTTTATATACAGTAAATATTACTTCATCAAAAATTAATATTTACTTTGAGATATCAGTATCGCACAGTATCGATTAAATTATATTCTGCAGTTTAAAATAAAAATGAAATACCCGATATTCTCTTTAGTTAATTTCCGAGAGAATTTCGCCTGATAAGTAACACGACGTATATACGAACGTTTAATGGGGTGCGGTACGTTCGTCTCGTAACGTTGTCTCGAAAGCAGTGATCCGTCTTGCTTACCACCTTGCGTCGGTGACACCACCCACCTATAGAGAACCAGCCGTTCTATCCGATTCACCTCCGAAAGACCCACCCACAGTGGTGACCTTGCCGTCGATCCGTGTACTCGACCAGCATCTTTGGCTAATCTCCGGGCAATCGCGGATCTCCGCTAAATTGAGCAGGGTTGACTCCCTCCTCAGCGATACTTCTCGCGATTCGATCTCGCGTCGACTTGTAAGTGATAAACGATTTTTCATTCTCCGTCGAGATAGTCCAATTCGCGTTTAAGTATCGACGTTTTCTCGCGCAAAATAAATACCATAAGAAAATTCTATTTGCGATTTTAATGTCGCATTGATCTCCTCGATAAGCGAAATATATCACAATTTTTCTCCCCGAAGCGACAAATCAGTCCACCGCTTGATGTAGTATAAATCACGTATCTTTGATTTTATTTATAAAGTTTAAATATAAAAATTACACCTACTGATAAAGTTTAAAATTGTACTTACCGGTGCGTTTCTCGGCATCGCGATAAGTGACCTCGCTGAGGGTGACGGGTTGACTTCGTCCCTTAGCGTTGACAGCGTACACCGCCACGTGGACCCCAGCCTCGACCGACGCCTCCAACCCGGCGAGGGCGAAAGTTGGTTCGTCCGGATTGGAAACGTTATAGAGAGGTTGGCTGCTGGTGAGGAAGTCGACATCGCCGTGATAGACCTCCAGGACAAATTTCTGCGGGAGGCCACCGTCGTATCCCGGCACGCACTTCACCTCCACGCTGGTGTACGTTTGGTTCGCCAAGGTACAGTTGCGCACCGGAAACGGTTTTCCTGTAAAGAGAAGGGTCGTTTATGAAGAAGGAGATGGATCGTGAATTATGCGGCTTATAGTTGAACAGTCTCCAATTCAAAGATAGAACTCGGACGGAAAGGTTTTCTCTCCTCTCTTTCCC